CCTTAAATGCTAGGCCTCTGACCCTAGAGGGCTTCTTTATTGTCTCTTTTGGAATAGTTTTAACACTTTCGCCTCCATCACGCCCTGTATACACACAACACACACACTCACATGCATGCACACTCCTCACTGCCAGCCCACCCCAGGATCACATTGCTTCTAGAGTGTCCTCCATCCAGTGCAGCCCTGGCCAAATGCTACGGCCACAGGAAGCTGCAGGAACCTGGGTCTATGGCGTTCTCCCTCCTCCCTCCTCCTGCAGGGTCCCAATCCATCTCTCTGTCCGAACTGCCTCTTTCACTCCAATTCTTTGCTGCCCACCATGTCCAGATCAAAGTCCAACTCCATCACAGCAGGAATTTCCTTTCCTCTCTCTATCAAGTCCCCTTTTTAAAGTCAGTCTTATACATTTATGTAGTAGATTACAAATTGATTTGTGGTAGAACAGAAGAAGTGTTTGGCTGTGGAACAGTTTTTTTGTTGCTCTTATTGAGGTTTTTTGGTTGTCATTGCTGGCATTTGTTTGTTTGAGTCAGTCTTGGTGTATATTCAAGCTGACCTTGGATTTGCCATGTGGCCTAGGCTGACCACAAATTTGTGTTCATCTTCTTGTCTCAGACTTCTGAGTGCTACAGTTTTCAAAAGAAAAATTTTTTATTAATCCATTTTTGTAGAACTAACATCCCTTGTGGGGAGTTGGTACATGGACATAACAATCTCAGTTCTTTTTTTCATAGCCTTTCCTCGCCTCCCTTCCCATTCCCTCCATCTCTCTCTGTCTCTTTTTTTCTTTATTTTTGTTTTGTACCGGGGATTGAACTCATGACCTCACATTTGACAGGCAGGCACTTGTACCACTGAGCTAAATCCCTGGCCCTTCCCTCCATCTCTTGATCCCCTTCCCATTTGAACAAAATTTATTTCCTTATTTCCTATTATTTATCTTTTATTTCACTCTTTATCTATATTTTCAATTTCTCATATAAGACAAGCTATGACAATTATGGACTCAAGGTGCATCCATTTTCCTATAAATGACTCAAATTTATCCTACGTTATGGGACAGCGGTACTCCACTCTGCGTAAATACCACATTTTAAATTCATTCATCTGTTGGTGGACATATAGGCCGCTTCCATTTTGTTTTTAAATACTAGAAAGACATTAGGATGAGTTATTCGGCTGAAGTGAGGGGTTGTTTATTCCAGAGTGTTTTCACATAGGTGAACTCCCTCCATTCTAGCACATACTGAAAGCCAGGATGGAGATGGATGGAGACAGGGTTCCACTGACTCAGGAGGGTCAAATGCAAACTTCTCTTCCTCCTTCCTCCTTTAGTGAGGTCATGTTGGTAGTTTAAAATTGCCCAGGGTGGGAATAGTTACACCATATAAATCAGTATAAATTCAGCTCTTTGCCCCCTGAGAGCCCAGTTGCTAAGCATTTACCAGCCCGGTGCTGGGGACCTCAATCCTGGTTGGCCATTTTTGTTTTGAAACCTTCATTGTTCTCAGTGTGTTGCCTTCTTTGCTGCAATGCCGTCTTGTTCACTCACTATTTTCTCAGCAGTTCCATCAGTTCAGCTTTAACTAGCAGACTAAAGCCAATGCCATTGCTTAATTGGATGAAAGTTACTCACTGGGTCATCCTGCATCTTCTAACACTTTTCATATTTATACAAGTGATAGTGATTGTGGCTATAATCTTCTTGATTCAATTCAAGATAGCTTAGCTATTTGATTTTTCGTCAGTTGATTTCACTCAAGCTTCATGAGCAAAATAGGTCTGTTGGTCTGGCTTTCTGATTTACAAATAATGATGGTCACTGTTGCATTTTTAATCACAGTGGCTGACCCTTTGGTATGGAAAAAATTGACCAATCCAGAAGACTTTTTGAGTACTGCAAGGCAGAATAACTAGGTGTATTAAAGAAAGGGAGCCATGGGAGTTAATTTTGAAATGTTAAAATGCAGGAAATAAGTTGATGTTGTCATTGACTGAAATAGGGAAGCAAGACAGATTTGATTAAGGGAGTATGGCTCGAGATTTGCTATGTTTGGGTTGTAGCAAGGCGGTGTGGGAGAGATTAGAAAAGTAAGAATGGAATCAGTACACTTGGATGGAAGAGAAACTGTAAAAGGTACCGTTGCAGATGTGTGCCAAGTCATCCTACACTTCTTTCTCTGACAGCTGCTTCTCCTGTAGCCACATTTGGAATCCCTCCCAAGCACCCACACGGTCCTCCACTGGGCATAACTGATGGAGTTGGAAGTGGTGACCGCAAGCTCATGAAAATTTGGAATTAGTACACGTGATTATGATAGTCTTCATAGGTACTGGATTTTTAAGGTGCTGTAGTCTGGGGGAAAAGGAAACCATTTTTGAGTCTCCAAATGAACAAGTAGAGAAAGCAAGTCTACCACTGCAGAGAGAGGAGCAGGGTGGAGCGCACAGCTAGGGAGGAGCCGAGATGAGCGACAATCCGATGGAGGAAGGAGAAAGGAAGTAGCTGCTTTGGTCTGAGAATTCCCAGCCCCAGTGCTACTTCTCCTGAGCCTTGACTATCAGCTGTCACATTTGGGTTCTAGGACGCATCCGGCTACCTTATAGCAAATCCACTTTTGCTTAAGTTAGCTTGAAAGTTTCTGCTTTGGCCAGGGATATAGCTCACTGGCACAGTGCCTGCCTGGCAAGTGCCATGTCCTGAGTTTGATTCCCTATACAAAAAAACAAAACAAAACAAAACAAAGAGAGAAAAGTTTCTGTTTCATGAAACAAACCATCAATCTTTAAGCTGCTTGCTCTGGCAATTACTACTTACAAGCTCTAACCAAGTCACTGAGCTCATGTTACAGATGGGTTTTAGTTTCTTTATCTGAAAAGGAAGGTAATATTATTTATTTTCAGGCATGTGTGAATATTAAATAAGTCAATGTAGGAAAAGCACTTAGAAAAGTGACTGGTGTTTGATAATGACTGAATATAAATGTGAGGGACTGTTATTTTGTGAAAATTTCAAACACACAGCTTAAGTTTGATGGAAGTCATTGTTGGTTGACCAGTGCATGACTTCTGGAGTCTTCATACCTTTGCTGTTCTCTTTGCCTAGAATGTCCTTTGCTGTCACATCAGTGGGCCACCCTCCCCTTACCCTTCCCTTGAAGTTCTGCCTTTGGGCTTTCTTTGTGCTGACAATTATTATGCTGTATTACTATCTTACTACTGTTTCTTTTACGTTTTGTTATCCTAAAAGGAGGCTATGTTTTTCTTGGTATCTCTAATGTTCAGCAACATGACTTCATACATCACAAAGTCTGTATCAATGTTCATTAATAAGTCAATATGTACACCAGATGACCAGGTTTTACATCGAGGGCAAAGATGTCACATGGGCATCCTTTATAAAAGGATGACAGCTAGAAGACATAGATATGCTGAGATCGTCAGGAGAGTGCAGCATGAGGAGAAAGGTGGAGGGAAGGTTTGGGATCAGAGGAGACAGAACATTTGAAAAACAGGTCAGAGTTTGTGAAAGAGTAAGGAAGTGTAGAGATATAGACATCAAAAATATGAGGGAATTTAACAAGTAGTCAGAAATGTCAAAACTCACATAATCATGACATAAGAGGCTATAGACAAGGATATTGGAGGCCATTGAGATATCTGACAGCAAATTCAGTAGGCTAGTCAAGGGGAACACCAGATTATAACATACTTGTGCTGATGGTTAACATACATTGTTCTGTTGGGGGTTCAGTAACAAATGAGTAGGCAAGAGGGATGATGGAAATATTTATTATATTAAGACAGGAAACCTGTCCTACATTCAAGTGAGTAGACTAAGTTTTCTTTTTGCTAAAGTAATACTATACTTGTTCTTTTCCCCATTTGCCATTTTCATTAAATTTCTCCTGAAACTTGATAAACAAGCTTTTATTAACAACTAGATTAAAAAAAAAAACAACTAGATCTACTCTTCATAATCATAATCTACTCTTCATAATCACATAATCATATACACTTTGTCTTGGTTTTTTTCCCCCTGTGGAAGCTCATCCATCCATTCCTCCATGCATGTTTCATCAATTTGTCCTTCCATTTGCATGTTCATTTTTTCATATAATAACCTATGAGACCACTATCAAGGTCCAAGAACTACCATAGGAAATTGTAAGGAACCAGGACTGGCCAGGGGGAGATTTAGGCTACATGAGAAGACTAGAACACATAGGCTGCCTTCTCTGAAGTTTTCTAGTTTCATTCTCTTGGAAGTTATAGCCACCTCTTGATGCTTTGGATATCTTGCCTGGCTCTGGGGATTTACAGTGATTGATCATCCCAGAACTTATCCATCATGTCAGAAACCAGATTCTACCAAGCAACTGTTGAACAGCAAGCTGGAGTCCAAAGACATCAAGATGGTTTGGAAACCTCTCTGCCAGAGAGTTGTGCATTTATTTGTGGCTTATCAGTTTGAATAAAAAGATAGCTGACCTCTGACATCTTTTAAGAAGTTCATAATTTATTAGAAGCATCAGAAGAAATATAAAACTAAATATTAATATAATCCCCTGGGAGAAGCCTTGCTTCAGCATTTTACATAATATTAGAACCTCAGCAAATAGTTTCCCTGAGATAAAAACTTTGGCAAACATCCAGCTGGAACATTTGAGAAGTGAAACCATTCATGTTTTTGTGTCAGGAGACTTGATTCTCATCCAGCCTTCTAAATATCAGATTTTGAAAAATCCTCCAATACAAAGAAGTAGAAAATCTGTAACACAAATAATTCAAAACTAGCTGCTCTAACCCCAGTTCTAGAGATGATGATTTTGAACTCCTGTTCTTGACTGGTTTCCCTATACCACCAAAATAAACTTAGCCCTTTATTTTGTGATTCTTTAGGATAAGAGGGAAAGAAATCTGTTGAGTCTTCAGTATTTCTATGGGATCATGGTTGTTTAATTTAGGAAAAAGTTTGTTACAAATAAGAGTAAACCCTGGCCCTGAATCAAGGCCAGCAACTTCCTGACACTGTTGATTTCAAGCAGGAGCTTAAAGAGATATCTTTGTATGGTCTGTTGACCCTTTCAGAACTCGGGCAGTGAAATGATCAATTCATTAGAAAGAAACAACTTGAAGCAACCCCTCCCCACCTGGTGAGCAGCTGTGAGTGTGACAGGCTGTGGCAGCCCGGGATGGGAGCCACCAGTGTTTACTGGGACCCTGCCATGCTGGTACCTGGAGCACTGGGAAACCAAGTAGCCTCTCCCTCCCTGTCTGTTTTGTTTTGTTGAACTTCAATATACATGAAAGTATGGACAGCTATTTTGAAGAGAATGAGAGACTCTACAACAGCCATTAGTGACTTTCCTATTGTCTGGTTTTGAAGACCTAAATTGCCTTCCTGATTCTGTTCGGATCAGTTTTATACTATGTTGTTTTGCATGAATTCTCTGTATGCGAAGACATGGACAACTATTTGGAAGAAAACAAGAGACAATATGATAGACAGTGAAGATCTCAGGTTGGTCTAACTTCTACATCTTTTACATTGCTTTCTTTCTTTCTTTTTTTTTTTTTTTTTTTTTTTTTTTTGTTACCAGGGATTGAATGACTTCTACTTGCCAGGCAGGCACTTAAGCCACTGAGCTAAATCTGGCCCTCTACATTGCTTTCTTATGTCCTATTTTGTTCTGTTTTGTTGTGTTTAATTTTACCCCCTTTAAAATAAAAATAAAAAGAAATTTTAAAAAACCCCAAAGAACAAATAACAGCAAACTTAACCAAAAGGCATTTACATTACTGAGTTGGACTTTATTTTCCTTAAATAACAAGAAGTCCTGAGGTAGACAGACCAGGGCTGGTATAACTGTTCCAGGATGCTGTCAGTTCCTTTGTCTTTGGACCCCCAATTCTCAGCATGCAGCTTGGAGTTTCCTGTTTCTGAGACTGACTGTACCTGGGCAAGAAGAAGGGGAGCATCACAGCCTTTTCTCCCAGAGGCCTTAGCTTTTCATTCAGAAAGGGAAGTGCTTCCCTGTGGCTTCTGCTGACATCTCCTTGGGCAGAATATAGTATTCCTCACTGGGAGATTCCCGAAAAACTGAGTACAGTTTTTAGCTTTTCAAACTCTACATTATAAACAGGTGAGGACGGATGCAGTTGGGACTGGATGTCAAGCACCTAAGAAGCTGGACTGGAATTTTTGAAGCACAAGAACTCACATATATATATATATATACACCATTTTTAACAAGCCAGTGAATTAAACCCAATGGTTTACAACTGACTCTAGGGTTGTTGTTCTGCATATGAAGGAATCTCAACAGGACTTTTCATAATGTTGGATTAAGAAGCATAGGGTTTCACCATGGTTCCATTCAATTGAAAGCCGGAGAGTGAAGAAGATGGTGGGAAAAGGAAAGGAGCAGAATTTCTTCATTTTCCTGAGAAAATGGAGCAGCCTCTGCCTTTAATTCCTCTTGGAAACGAACCTGGGCCAAGGGAAGAATAAATGAAATATTTCAGATTGGCTGGATATAAACCACTGATGAAATCTAAAAGGAAGAATCCTAGAAGTGTGTTTCAAAGCAAGGGCTCTCAGGGAGTTCCACATGTGTACACGGTGACATGGTGACACATCTCACCAACAGGGAACAACTGGTTTGGATCCTAGATGTGTGCTGCACCACTCTGAGGGTTTCCCCACTGAGTACAATGCCATCTTCCCTGCTTGCCAGCCCCACACAGGGCATGAGATGTTCTTGAGTATGTCCATCCTGACAATCTCACTTCCTCTGTTTGATCAGGTAGTCAATTGATCCTATCCAAGGAATCCAGATGAGCTCAATGGGAGTTTCTTCTGCCCACATCACTGCATCTACGTTCCTTCCAGCTGCCTTCTCTTCCACCTGGACTGGAATTGAGTCCTGGACTGAGCCTCCTAGCGGTGGGCTCAGGATGGAGTATGGAGGAATTGTCCCTCTTAGGCTCCCAGAGGCTACACACATGACTATCATCCTTTAGTTAGATTTACACTTGCTCTACTAAAATAAAACTTGTGGAATATGGCACTCGGTGGGAAAAATATGTACTGAGAGAGGAGAGGGAAGATTCAGGAAGCCCTGTCATGAAGCCAAAGATGGCGGACCCTCAGGACTGGTGATGGGGCAAGGGTAGAGATGAAAAGAAAAATTTCTGTAAGACAATTGGCATTCCTATGTGCTTGTGCATTTCATGAAATCCTGAAAACTTTGGGCCGACAGAAAAAAGTTCCTAGTGAAGAAGCATCTTAGAATTTATTCTAATTGTGTTAATGGGCAGCCTCTCTCTGAGGAAAACAGATGAAGATAAGGGAAGCAGAGGAAATCAAAGCTCTGCACAAACCACATGATTTAATCTTTGCAATAATCCTGTGAGGTAAGAAATATCTACTGTGAAAATTGAGGCCCAGAGAGGCTGTGTGCTTCCTGGTACTGCACAGCTGGTGAGGGAGTGGTTGGCTCTGGACCCTGGTCTTCCTGATGGTAACTCTCACAGGCTCCTCAGCGGACTGCTTTCCAGGTCCCCACCCAGCCACCTTATAAGAAATCCTTAAATTTGGAAGGCCCTGGCCCATCCAGGAAAGAAGTCCCTTGCAATGGTCGCAGGGTGAGGTGGCAAAGAAGTGCCCTTTGTCCCCCAGAGCAGAGGCCCTGGGGTGGCAGCTCTTTGGGGGAGAAAATACTGAATTCTGATCAAAATGGCTGTGGAGTTCAGCTAAGTCACTTTCCTCACTCCATCTGGAAGCTCTTCAGAGGCATAATTTCATTCCAGGCAAATGTAATTAAGAATTTGATTTGATTAAAAAACAAATCGAAGGAGAGAAATGAGGTTTCTCCTCATTCCCTCCCTTTCTTCACAAATAGGACCCTCATTAACGAGGCATATGCCTGGGACTGGGGACCAGTTCAGTCCTCCCCCACCCCACTGCCCTTGGCCACCCTTCCTAAAGAACTAGGGGTAGAGTGATTCCCACAAGGGATCAGGGAACTCAACAAATAACGCAGAGGATTTTTAAAATTCTAATTTGGCTTCAAGACACTGGCAAACCACAGCAGTTGTACCTCTGTGGGAAGAAGATGTCCACTTAATTAAAGCCTGGGCAGGCAGTGGGCAGCATCACCCTGGGAGGGAGACTCAAGTGAGGCTCGGTACTGATCACACCAGACCTGCTGCCAGATCTGCTGCCTTCTCTCCTGGAGGGCAGGACACCCCAGCCAGTTGTGGCGAGACAAGAAACGGAAAAAGTAGGGTGAACAGGAAGGATTTGTGATATTATGTTATTAGGCATGACCCGAATAATCAGACTTTGACTTACTCCATCTTATCTCAGAGGCTCTAATGAGAGTTATGTGATGAGCTTTATAAAGGGCAACCAAAATGAGAGCTGGGAGGTCAAATACTGGTGGGTGGATCCTGACAGATGCACTACACCCTTCATCAGCTTCTCTGTGGAAATAGTCCTATATTTATTTCCTGAATCTGTCACTGTCTATTTGCTGAAAAAGTCCTTTTTGACTATATATGCAAACTGAGCTAAGCAGGAGTTGGAAACCACTTTCCAGTGTACCTGTGTAATCAAAAAAGGCAGAATGAACTGAGTAGAACTGGAATTATAAGGAAAGTTCCAGAATTCAAGACAGGGATGGGACTGATGCATGGACTAGGGTTGAGGTAGACCATGCCCAACAAGGCTGTCATGGACTTGGTCTCTTACTGTCTTGCCACTATGTCATCCTTAGAGCATTGTCTTTTATTTGTTGATTCTTGGGTACAAACGGCTGCCACAGTCCAAACATCCAATCTTCATTCAAAAAAGAAAATCAGAGGATATAAGTGAAGGCACTAGTCCTATTGTTTCATCTTATCAGGAAAACAAAACCTTTTCTGAAAACTCCAAACTGGTACATGGTTACTCTTGACTATAAAGGAGAATAGCAAAATCAGTATTTATTGGGAAATCATCCTGATCTGATCAAAGCTGTAGTTTCATTTACAAGAAAGGTGAGGGATAGATAATAAATGGCCAATGACAGTGTCTTCCACAGGAACTTAGACTACTAAGTAGCAGCAGCAGAGTCTAATGAAGGTGTTAAAAACCACTCCAGGAATTTCAGACAGAAGGAATCCAACACAAGGATTTGTTTGCTGGACAGGACATGTCAGAAGTACCACAGGACTTAGGAAAAAAATAAAAGGAAAAGAAAAATAAAGTTACTGTCTTTGTTGCTTCCCTTTCTAGGACGTAATACCCAACACTCAAAACTTAAAGACGGAGTTTATTTTGGCTCATGATTTGTATATGGTTCAGTCCATAGTTGACTAGCTCCCGGATAGGGTGGCGTGGCAGAGAGGGTTGCTGGTGACGTTTCTGACAGGAAGCAGAGATCAGGAGATAGACCTTTCCTGGCCATGGCCCCTGTGACCTACAACTTCTGACCAGGCTTCTCCTCCCAGCATCATATTTAGCTAATCTGTTGACAAGTGTTACACCCTCATGATTCAGTCACCTCCTAAAAGCCCCATCTGTGAGTGCATGAGGCCTTGGGGCAACATCTAGATAGACATAAATCATGACACTTTTCCAGGCTGTAGGAAGTATATGTATACTACCTCTCCTAGGCTGTAGTTGCAGAAGGGTATGCAGTGTTACACCAAACTCAAGACGAACCTTTGCTGTTGCTTGCAACTCACAAGAAGCCAAAAGCTTGTGCTTGCGCAGACACAGCAGGAGCCTGGAATGCTGAAGAATCTGCATTGGAACATTACTACTGTAGGAGCCAGAGCTCCTGCCACTTGTGCCCAAGACTGCCCCCTTTACCTGCCACTGGTGATGCTAATGACTCCACTAGAAGAAGAAACATAAAGGTACCTTTTTTTTTTTCCTCTTTCTAGTCTCCCCAGGACCTACCATTTGTAGAGCCTAACTGGAAGCCAACTGGTGTAGGAACTGATCTAGGAGATGTTGTTTTCAGGTTTTTAACACTCTAAAGGCCCCATTCTTCAGAGGAGAGCACAGCTAGCAAAGGGCACTAGACAAATAATGCCCTAGACATTGCCCCCTGCAGTTATACGAAGAGGGTGTGAGGACAG